ACTTATTTACATCCTGGAACTGGAAATTATTCTTCAATAGATCTTTCACTTACAGACTCAAACTTAGTAAATGACTTTGAATGGTCGGTTCACAATGACCTTTGTGGAAGCGACCATTTTCCCACGGTTCTCTCAACTGTACATCCTAGTGATGCTCCACCATCATCAAGGTGGAACTTTACAAAAGCCGATTGGTCTTTATTTCATACATTATGCACTGAAAGATTGCAACCTAACTTATGCCTTAATGTTACTGATCATATTCAAAAATTTTCTGATGAACTAAATATCATTGCTGATGAATGTATTCCAAAAATCCTCTACAGTCCCACACATTCGTAAACCATGGTTTAACATTGACTGCAAACAAGCTAGAAAGGCGAGAAAGAAGGCGGAAAAATATTTCCGTCGACATCCAACTGTTCATAATTTGAACCAATTTAAAATTTCGAATGCCAAGGCTCGTCGCACATTTTAGCAAAATAAACGACAGTCATGGAAAAACTGTTTCTAAAATCCACTCACGGACACCAATTTCTAAGGTTTGGAATATGGTGCAGAAAATTAAAGGCAAAGGATCCAAATGTAGTGTCCACCATCTTAAGGAGGGTGACACTCTTCTAACTGAAACATCTGATATTGCAAATAAAATTGGTGAAACGTTTGCTAAACATTCCTCTTCGTCTAATTATTTACCAGCCTTTAAGAAATTTAAAGACCAACAAGAAAAAAAGAAAATCAATTTTAATTCAGACAACGGGGAGGATTATAATGAATTTTTTTCCATTCATGAGCTCCATACTGCCCTGGGCAAGCTCATGACACTGCTTCAGGGCCCGATAATATTCATTATCAGCTACTTAAACATTTACCTGAATCGTCTTTAGAAACATTATTGACTATCTTTGACACTATATGGACTTCTGGTCATTTCCCATCATTATGGCGACATGCTATTGTCATTCCTATCCCTAAACCTGGTCGGGATCATACTGATCCTTCTAACTACCGACCAATATCACTTACTAGCTGTGTTTGCAAAACTATGGAACGTCTGGTTAATAATCATTTAGTTTAGTACCTAGAAACCATCAACCTCCTCACTAACATTCAATGTGGTTTCCGCAAAAATCGAAGTACCATCGATCATTTGGTACGTTTAGAATCTTTTATTAAAAATTCCATGTTAAATAAACAGCATGCTGTATCAAGTTTCTTCGACCTTGAAAAGGCATATGATACGACATTAAAGTATGGAATTCTAAAAGATCACCATGACTTTGGTTTGAGGGGCCGTTTACCCCAATTTATATCTCAGTTTTTCGAAGACAGACAATTTCAAGTCCGAGTCGGTTCTACCCTGTCTGACCATTACAATCAGGATCAGGGTGTCCCACAAGGAAGCATTTTGTCTGTTACCTTGTTTAGCGTTACAATCAACAGTTTATCAAAGGTTTTAAATGATTCGATTGATGGATCACTTTTTGTGGATGATTTTAATATTTCTTGTCGTGTTAAAAACATGAATACTATTGAAAGGCAGTTGCAGTTGTGTTTAAATAAGGTTCATAAATGGTGTCTTGAAAATGGTTTTAAATTTTCAAAAACCAAGACCAACTGCATTCATTTTTGCAGAAAATATAAGCCACATAAGGACCCAGATTTAGTACTGGATGGAGCTTCTATCAAAGTTGTGAAAGAGGCCAAGTTTCTTGGTATTGTTTTTGATCAACACTTGACCTTTCTACCGCACATAAAACAGTTAAAGACTAAATGCCTGAAGGCACTGGATTTACTCAAAGTAGTTTCAAATTCCAAATGGGGAGGGGATCAGAAGACCCTCCTTCAACTGTACAGATTGCTCATCCGATCAAAACTTGATTATGGCGCCATCGTATATGGTGGAGCCTGCAAAAGCAACCTAAAGCTATTAGATTCAGTCCACCACCAAGGTCTAAGACTTTGTCTTGGATCTTTTAGAACTTCTCCTATTGATAGTCTCTACGTTGAGGCAGATGAGCCATCTCTTGCACAACGCCGTATAAAACTATCTTTACAATATATTACAAAACTGTACTCTAACAAGTCTAACCCTGCATATAACTGTGTCTTCACTTCCCTCTATGAGGATTTATACAACAAGAAATCTTGGACACAGAATTAAACCGTTTATTGCTGCTGGCGGAATTGAGCTGGAGAATATATCTCCTTCTCGTCTTCTTTCTTCTCCTCCTTGGCAATTGGTGAGGCCAGACGTTGACTTAACTTTAATCACATTTAAAAAATCCGAAACTAATGATTAACGGTATAAACAAGAATTTAGTCAATTAAGAAATAAATATGGATGGATCCAAGGATGGTGGCTCGGTGGCTTGTGCCACTGTCATTGGATCCAGAACACTTTCTTCTCGGCTACCAAATAATAGCTCTATTTTCACAGCAGAAGCTAACGCTATATTAACAGCTCTTAAATATATAAATAAACGCAGTAAATATAAACAATACATGATCTTTTCTGATTCTCTTTCGTGTCTTCAGGCTATTAAAAATCGTTCCTGTAAACATCCACTTTTATTAGAAATTATTGAATTGTATAATGAGCTTGCTACTGGCCAATGCGACATCGTCTTACATGGTCTGACATGGTTACCCAGCCACGTTGGCATTTCTGGGAATACACTGGCTGATCTTGCTGCTAGGGCAGCACTCACCAAATCTGTGACACCACTTCTTATTCCATATTCTGATTACAAAGCTAGCATTAGAACTTACATCCGGAATCTGATGCAGAAGAAGTGGGACACCCACGTAGGTATTAACAAATTACATGAAATAAAACCCCATATTGGTTACACCTACTTGGGTTGTCAATCCAGGTTTGAAGAGGTCATCATGCGACGATGTCGCATTGGCCATACAATATATACTCATGCATACTTATTGAAAGGTGAGGATCCTCCGTTTTGTATCCCTTGTGATGAGAGAACCACGGTCAAGCATGTCCTGCTTGTGTTGAATTCTTCATCATAAGGGATAGATATTTTAATGTCAAAACAGTAAATGACCTTTTTAGTAACGTTAATTATCATTTAATCATTGATTTTTTAAAAGGAATAGATCTGATAAATGAATTTTGATATATGTTCTGTAAATAGATAAGGTTTTATAATTGGTAGTTTAGATTATCAACCTCGATTGTTAGTGGCTGTACCCTCCAAGGGGGTTGAAGTATTGTAAAATTATTGTCCTCACACATTTAGAGTAAATTTCAGCTTACCACGTTTTTAATCGTAGAATATGTGTGCTTTTAGTTTATGGCTAGATTTCTTTTCTGTCGCCAATGGCTGACGGGATGGTGTAAATCCAACTAGGGTCCATGCAGGTAGCAAAAGTAATGTAAGTCCCAATGGTCCCTAGTATGGTGATCTACCTTCAGTTATTGGCGATTAATAGCCCATTTTTGTACTGTATTGTTTTTCCCCTATAGTTTAAACGTTTTAGATTGAATTACTAGTTTTACATACATATCTGTGATATTCTAGGTGTTTTACTGTCCTTCGTCGGCAGGTTTTTTATAACATACATATATTTCATTTCAATATCAAATGTTCTCGTCACGATATGGCTGAAATATTGCCGATGTGACGTTAAATATTAACTCACTCACTCACACACTACTAATAAATGTAGTTCATTGGCATTGGTCCTTAGACCTCTGCAATTCCACTGTATAAGTGGATGGTAAATGGTCACGTTTTGGGGTGGGCGTACGGGTGATCTACTTTGCCCTGACCGTGGCGACTTGCTTCTATTTGCGACCTATAGCCTGTATTTCAATTGTGTATACAAACCTTTCTCGTAACTATATGGCTGAAATATTGCCGATGTGACGTTAAATATTAACTCACTCACTCATTTGGCCTCAGACTGCATGGGTGAGTGAGTGAGTTAGAATTTAACGTCACCTCGGCAATATTTCAGCCATATAGTGACGAGAAATTCAGACTGCATGGAGATCCATCACACCAAGTGCCAAGTCTGTGGAAAAGGGTATCAACAAATGTGGGATTTCGAGAGTTAAAGCTCCAAAATCCATGCAACTACATTGGCAGTTACTTCAACATAAACATTTAAAACAATGGTTAGTTTCAACACAACTCCTTATAAAATGTATAGTTTGATTTTTCGACGATAATTGTGAAATAACTGACGCACTAAAGCCTAAACTGTGAATGAATGAAGTGTGTCAAGCTATTACAGAAGATGTGTAAATTTCTAGACCCGTCTGCCAAATGGCAAAACCTGATATACTTGTAAAATAATGAAAATGCGAGGGAAAACTTACCATTACTTTTTCGCCACGTATTCATTCACTCTCCAGCGAGGAAATTGAGTTGCTTTGGGGCAACTCCAAATTTCGCGTGGACAGCGCTTCCACCCTGTGAAATGGGCCTTGGAAACACATAACATTGTTTTAATCCTATTGGTTAACCCTACATTGAAACGAACTAAATCTACAAGGGAAAGGTCGATACCGGCAAGGTCTTAAACACTGGAAAGAAATGACAAAGCCTGATGCGTATGTAGTTAAAGGGGCATAAATAATCGGTTCGTTACAAACGAAATACACCCTGTATGGTGTTAAATCAGTTTCTGAATGTGTTTGCAGTATATTCAATATTTCCTGTGGTCCAATTTCCACGTATATTGTGCTGACTATAGTACAATAAGTTGGATAGCTGATATACATGTACCTACCGTGAAGATTCGGGTTACAATTGGCAACCCATGCTTTTTGTAAAAGGCGACTAAAAGGGATCGGATGGTCAGACTGGCTGACTTCGTTGACACATGTCATCGTATCCCGATTGCGTACATCGATGCTCATGCTGTTGATCACCGGATTATCTGGTCCAAACTCGAATATTTCCGACTGCCGCAATATAGCTGGAATATTGCTGAGTGCGGCGTTAAACAACCAAAGCACCCAAACAACCTACCGAGCAGAGATGCCAAAAACGAAAACAACCCAAACGCTATCGCCTTGTCCTTGCTTTCTACGCTCCTGTATAAACAAAAAACGTGTATTAATTAGTAATGGTGCTACAAATGGCATGAGCGATGTTTTTATAAATATGACAAAAGTAATATTCGTAAAGGAGCCATGTTAAACACACGCAAAAATCATGTTCAACACATCGTTGTCGATGGTCAGTGGGCTTAAGAGGTCACCCGCAGTACCTTGCGGAGAATGTATAGTTTTCCCAAAGCAGTACCTTGTGGAGAAGTTACATGTATAGTTCTCCCGATTCAGTATCTTTTTGGGAAGTTACAAATATGGTTTCCCGCATCAGTATATTGTGGAGAAGTGACGTGGCAAAGCAGGCTATATCTCCCACTCACCCCATTCCGTAACGTCCAAGAAGGCATTCATGACCTACTCGTGTTATGTCGGGACAAGTTGAAGAACTCTTTTTGTGTATAATGCAAACAGTAATAAACACTCGAAAGTTGCTGCTATTATAAGATTTTAACCTGTTTTCAACAAAATGACTTCAAAATATATCTCAAACAGAAAAACTCGTTGAGCATCCCATCACGATTTAGTATATACTGTGTCTGCCCAGTTGTCTCAAATGAAAGTGACAAAATATGGCCAATGTAAGCACTGTGTTTAAGATTGAAGTAGATAGGTTTTTGTAGCTGTTTGTAATAACATTACCTTCAACTGTTGGAAAGCTCTCGTAAAATATCCAAAGCAAACATGCAAGATCGTCAGAGACTAAATGCGACAGAACCCGTTCCCCCGCTCCACATCCATAAGAAATTTCTGCTAAGAGCAGAGTCGATTGACTACATCATGAGTATATCCATGGTTCCTAGTATGGTGATCTACCTTCAGTTGTTGGCGATCTATAGCCCATGTTTACATTGTATTGTCCAAAAATAGTTTTGTACTTTTAAAGATATATGCTAGCTAGTTTAACTCATTTTGTGATACTCTAGTTGTTTTACTGTCCTTCGTTGACAGGGTTTTATATATTATCTGTATGTATTATAAATTTAGAACTAGTTTTAGTCACGATATGGCTGAAATATTGCCGATGTGACTTTAAATTTTAGTATATATTTGTTTCAGCAGTTTTACAGCTGTACGATGTTGTTTGTAAACAAATCGAGTCCGGACCAGACAATTCAGTGATTGTCACCGTGCGATATGATGAGTATGTGTTTATGAATCGCGATGAAATAGTGATGATACCAGGTGTTCGCAAAAAGGTGAGCGTATCCTGCCCCACCGGTGGCACCCGTCAAAAACATATGTAAATTGTTCACTTGAAATGGGGAACTGCTTCGGACATCATTTTTGTCACTGATGCATCAAATTTGGAAATTTCATCCACATGTCTACCATATAACTTTTTGAAAGCTTTACTGAGGCCTTGCATGTTGTAACTTTGATCATGCAACTCATGAGCAGGAGTGGTATGACACTCTTTGAAATCCTGATAAAAAGAGCACGTTCCATTGCACCTTAAAGGTTGTGACACCAAAGGCTGGAGCTGTTGGACTATTACTCGAAATAAAAAGGAAGTTGACTTTTGGAAAGTTGAAATCATTCCTTTCGTCGTACAGCCTTGTGGAGAGATTTTTGTCACTCTGAATTTTTATGCATAGATCTAAATATGAAACAGTTGATGTAAAACAGTTCCAGTGGGTAAATCAGTGGAAGGAAATTGGCTGTTTGATGGTTATTGAAGATATTAGCGTGAAAGTCACATCGGCAGTATTTCAGCCATATCGTGACTAAATCAAGTTATCAATATATTAACAATTAAAGGTAAATTGTAAAGTTCTGTCATCGAAGGAGAGTAAAACAACTAGGTTATCACAGATATTAATATAAAAATAGTAATTCAATCTAAAATATTTTAACTATACATGACAATACAGTATAAAAACAGGCTATAGGTTGCCAACGACAGAAGGTAGATCACCATACTAGGGACCATGGGGACTTACAGTACATTTGCTTCCTGCATGGACAACTAGCTGGATTTACACCATCCCCTCAGCAGTTAGCAATTTAGACACAACTAGCCATACACTTAGAAAAGCCACATATACTACGATTAAAAATAGTGGAAAGTTTGAATTTACTTTGAATGTTTGTGGAATTACGTACCCTCTCAAAAGGACATCTCAGAAATGTATACCAATGATAAAGTATAAATACCTATTGAGAATCCTCATTACTTTTGTGTATGACGTATGTTGTGAGGGTCGTGTTCCGTTTGTATGACGTATCTGATAAGAGTCATATCATGCTTCGTGTGTACGACATAACTAATGAGAGTCATGACATGTTTTTTATGAAAGACGTGCCTGGTGACAGTCATGCTACGTTTTCCACGTTCGTGTCATTAGGCATGTCATGTTTTGTATGTGTGACGTTCTGTGTGTATGATGTACAAAATGAGGGTCATATAATGATTTGCTTGTGTGACGAACCTTAATTGTGTCAGGTAAATTAGCAGGACTGAGATGGCTAGGAGCAACTTCTGGATCGCGTCGACGGCGATGTAGTAGTAGAAGTAGGGGCAGTCGCTGACACACATCCCTGCCGTTGTCTGGCCGCTCGTCACCTTGCTACAACCTCCATACATCTGGGGAACAGACACGTCAACAATATGAGACAATTAATGAACTTAAAAGTGGATGATATTCTGTCATTCTGAAGGACAGCTTTTATTGGTAAACTTTCGTTTTATGATACTCTAGAGGCAGCAAACCTTCAAATTTGTGTCGTGTTTCATCTGCCACCAATTGATTTGATTGTTTTGTTTGTTTTAAGTAGTGTCCCATAACATGTGAATGAATAAATGTCCTTATTTCCTCCAGACAGGTCCGGAGATCTTTAAAACACCATGGTTATATAATCATATAATTAACAGAATACTCAACAAACATACACACGCACGCGCGCGCGCGCGCACACACACACACACACATGTATATATATATATATATACATAGAATATGGGAACATTTCCCCAAATATATACAGGTTATTTACAGTCAGGTATTGGCTAGATTATTACCACAGGTGATTGAGGATATCTTTAGTTTATACAAATACTTTGAGAATTCCATAATAGTAAAATGCCATTTTATTTCATCAATATCATTGTTATTGGCCCCAAGAAAGAATGCCAGCATGTCATGCTCTTCCATCATCTCTATTTTGATATACATGTCAACATCAAGATTATCTATGAGAGTTGAGAAAAATACATCTCTCTCTGAAAGTAGATGTCCACAGTTTAGGATAACATGGTAATAGTAATCATCAGCAAAGGTATTACATTTTTTACATTCTTTTGATAGTTTGCTTCCGGATCCAATCCTTATAACATATTGCAATTCTTCTCTCAGTTCTAGATATAACAATGCCATGCTGCATAACACATGAGGTTAAAGTGCTGTACAACACAAGCACCACAATATTTACGTGAAGTATACCTATACGCAAAATTCAACCACATTTTCGACTTCAATACTCAGCACAGTGGGTATTCCATACCGATAGAGTTTGGTTTGTACAGCCAGCGAAACAAGGGGAGAAGTACGTCATCCCGTCGTCTCCACAAACAGGAAAGAAAATGGTGCTGTCGCACGAACACACATTGTCATTGAACGTGATGATTCTGAAAATATACCACATAACCAGAATGGAAACAGTGAATTAGTTCAAGTAAATGTCAACATAATTATTTATCAAATCATATTACACAGCAGGATGGTGTGTGATACGGGAGTTACGCAGGTAATGTGATGAAGTGAATGAATGAACAGTTACGTGACTGCAGCCTTGCTTGATGTGGGAAGGAAAACCTGGAGTGTTGCAGGTCTCTGATGTGTAGGATGTCAGTATCCTTTCTGGGGACGTTGCTGTAGCCTAGTGGTTAAAGCGTTCGCTCATCACACCGAAGACCATTCTCCACATGGGTACAATGTGTGCAGCCAATTTCTGGTGTGTCCCGCTTAAATATTGCTGGAATATTGCTAAAAGCGACGTAAAGCTGGACTCACACAGTACAGAGTACACACTCACCCTTCAACACTCATAGATCTGGGTTAGGATTGGTCTTCAGGAACCCATGCCTGTGTCTAACGGGGTCGGATGGTCAGGCTAGCTCTCTTGGTTGACACAAGTCATCGTATCCCGATTACGCAGATCGATGCTCATGCTGTTGATAACTGGATTGTCTCGTCTAGACTCAATTATTTCCAGACCACCGCTTTATAGCTGGAATATTGCTGAGTGCGGCGTTACACAACAAACCAACCAATCATAAAACCGTTCAGCATTATATTTCTTCATTTACATTTATCAAAAACATATTTCCGAAGCAAATCGAAGAAGACAAGTAACAAGTGCCACAACAGATTTTTCCGCCGCATTCGTTTTGTGTTATATAAATATATAAAAAAAGTATTGCTATGTTGTGGTTGTGATTCTACCTACGACCATGTGTTTTGGTTTCAACTCTTCACACTACTGGAGAAAGGCATTGTACGGTTAAAAAACAACTTTAACACGCTTACCCATCGTTGAAACCATGGATGGCTGGCGTATCACAGCCCAGGAAAAACATAACAACAGTGCCCAGTAAGGCTACAAATAGCAGAATGATGATCAACCTGAGGTAACCAACTCGCGTCGCTCTCATACGAGTCGTCAGAAATCCCCCAGTGAAGGTCCCGACGGTGGTGCTGACGAAAGTGCCGACCCCTGCAACACAGGTCGTGCATGTCAGCGGCCTCGCTCTGTGTCTATATACCTCACCCCATGGGAAGGTATGTAAGTCCCATTTCATTCAAAGGATTCTTCATATCACGTTTTTTTTAATCGTAGAATATGTGGTGTTTTGGCTAATTTTGACTTCAATCGCCAATGGCTGAGGGGGATATTGTAAATCCAGCTAGGGTCCATGCAGGAAGCAAAGGTACTGAAAGTCCTCACGGTCCCTAGTATGGTCATCTACCTTCAGTTGTTGGCGATCTATAGCCCGTGTTTTATATTGTATTGTCTTCTTTAATTGGAATGTTTTAGCTTTGTTCGCTAGTTTTATATACTAGGCACATAAAGAAACTGCATACAAAAATTTAAAATCTAAATTTATCAAACCTGTGTAGACACATGAGGTTTCAAACTCAGAGATTAGTGACATGTATGCAACATGCATGCACGTGCCACGCTCCGTGGCGTGAGTGGGTTCGTCCTTGAGACGTGCAATAAGAGAAACAGAGCAAATGAATGCCACACAATACTGTCACTTTGGAAAGCTCAACCCCTGCCCTTGCGATCGTTCAAAAAATTAAACGGCTATTGAAACGCATAGCATGCCAAGGATCACGTCTGCACAACGTCATGAGGCCACTGGGATGGTCCGTGGGGGAATGTCTCAACGACAAGTGGCTGCACATTTCCATTGCCACCGGAACACCATTTCTGCACTTGTGAGACGCTACCAGAACACAAATGACGTCATCGGTCGGCCACGTTTTGGACGTCCACGTGTAACAACGCTAAGACAGGACAGATGGATAAGGGTGACCCATCTTCGCCACAGGTTTCAGACTACAGTGATGACTGCCCGAACCATCCCAGGACTTCGCCGTATCCACCCCAACACAGTTCGACAACGTTTACGTAATCACGGGATCAGACCACGACGTACCGCCATGCGGCCTATCCTAACACAACGTCATCGACAAGCTCGCCGAATGTGGTGCAGAAATCATGTCTGCAGACCCTTGTTTTGGTGGAGAAATGTTGTTTTTACAGATGAGTCCAGGTTTAACATTTCCCATAGTGATGGACGTCAACGTGCCTATAGACGCGTGGGAGAACGTTATGCACAGGCCTGTGTCTTGGAGAGGAATCGCTTTGGTGGTGGTTCCGTGATGATTTGGGGTGGATTAACAGCACACCAAAGAACTCCTTTGGTGATTGTTCAGGGCAACTTAACTGGTGTGGGATCATATTCTTCGACCTGTGGCAATTCCTTTTCTGCAACGTCATGGCCCTGGGTTAACATTCCAACAGGACAATGCCCGCCCTCATACGGCAAGGGCTGCTATGGATTTCTTGCAACACCACATCGTTGACTTACTGCCTTGGCCTGCAAATTCACCGGATCTCTCCCCGATAGAGCATGTTTGGGACGAGATGGATCGACGTCTACGCCGTCTTCCTCATCCGCCAGATAACGTCCTTGACCTTGCAGCAGAACTTGGGAGAATCTGGCGTGACATCTCACAAGCCTTCCTTGCACGTTTGATAGGCTCTATGCGTCGTCGATGCACTACTGTTCTCAATGCCGATGGTGGACATACCCGTTATTGAGTTTGTGACATGGTCGTTTGACCCCTGTCCCGCTTGTGGACTCGTGACGTCATTGTGATTGACTTTTCAATTGAAATTCTCCCAACTCGTTATGGTCTCATGATCCCTCCATTAAAGTTTATATGTACCTTTGACATTGTTATCGTACTTATCAACTTGGATAATATTTTGACAATGCACAGTTTCTTTAAGTGGCTAGTATATTATATCCGTGATTATCTAGTTATTTTGACTGTCCTTCGCCGATAGGTTTATATAATGATTTATTATGACATTGCAACTTGTTAATAGTCACGATATGGCTGAAATATGCGACTTAAAATCTTAACTCACTGACTATATACCTCATACCTCTACAATAGCTTGAGGATGATTAGTAACATATTCGACAACTAGCATGACCCTCACTCTATGGTTCTGTCATATGTTTGAGCGATCTTTCCCATGTCCTTGTACATTTTGTTCATGTACAAAGACTAAATGCAAATTATAGATATTGTTTTCTCTTAATTGCCCATTTCACAATGTCTTCAGGAACAAGAATGAACGTTATGTATACATTTAATGAATGGGAGCGATTGCATAAACAAGCTTGGCCTCAAACAGATTTTTTCAAAACTACATTTATATCAACAATCAACACCCTAGAATTAAGTTTACGACGGAAACAGAGCAGCAGAACAAACTCCCTTTCTTGGACATCGCCATTGACAACTCAAACAACCAGCTCATCACGTCGGTCTATCGCAAACCTACCCACACAGACCAATATATTCACTATCACTCAAACCACCATTCCCAAATCAAGAGAGCAATTGTTGCCACACTTGCGAGACGCGCGAAAACGATTTGTAGCCCTGACCTACTGCAACAAGAAACAGACCACCTGATGGTAACATTCATCACATACAATGGTTATCCAAAGAACCTTGTAGAAACCACCATAAAGAAAACACTACAAGATCAAGTTCAGCCTCCTCCGAAACCTGAACCATCTCCCATCCGCATCAACATCCCGTATGTTGGGCCAATCAGCCACCAAGTCAGCAGACTCCTAAAGAAAATGGCCAGCATTGAAACCGTTTTCTCGTCTGGAAAAACCCTTAAAACTTTGCTACGTGCAAATGGTAAGGGGTGCAATCACGCTATATCCAACCCTAAAGGCTCTGTGTATAAACTGAAATGTGACTGTGGTGACATCTACATTGGTGAGACAGGCAGACCAGTAGCTACACGTGTGAAAGAACACAAAACTTCACTGGACAAATCAGATCTGAAATCTGCAGTTTCCCTACACATTATGAATCATTCCGATCATGAAATTGACTGGGAAACTGAAGTCCTCGCAAAAAACATCAGTGACTGGCGGAAACGCAAGTTGATTGAAGCTATCTTCATCAAACGCACAAAACCAGCAATAAACAGGGATCAGGGTGTCTACCTCCCAAATGCATGGTACATAAAACAAAAAGACAATACCCTACCCTCGTCACTGTTCCCATGTATAAAGAATAAGTTCTATGTATACACTGTTATTACTTTACATTCTATACATTTATAAATACGTCTCTGTACATTTCTAAATCAATCAACAAGTTTGTATAAGTATCTGCACAGTTCTAAATTGATCCATTAATTTTGCAGTAAACGACATCTTATATATTCATAATAACATTTATTACCCACGTGGTCAACGTATGGGTAGTTGCATACTAATCTCGTACGTCACACGAGTGTCGTATCGCGTTGACCTGTGTCGTAACGACTTGACCTGAGATTCTAACGATTTGAGTGAGTGAGTGAGTTAATATTTAACGTCACATCGGCAATATTTCAGCCATATAGTGACGAGAAATGTTTTATATCAACAATAAATTAAAGTTGCTAAATAATCAGTCATCGAAGGACTGTAAAATAACTAGAGTATCACAGATGGATTCTAAAACTAGCATGAACATGTAAAATTATTTTATTTATGAAGACAATACAATATAAAAATGGGCTATAGATCGCCAACAACTGAAGGTAGATCACCATACTAGGAACCATGGGGACTTACATTACTTTTGCTACCTGCATGGACCCTAGGTGGATTTACACCATCCCTTCAGCCATTGGCGACAGAAGAGAAATCTAGCCATAAATTAAAAGCACACATATTCTACGATTAAAAACCTGGTACACTTAAATTGACTTTGAAAGTTTTGGGACTTACGTACCCCCTCAGGAGGACAATAATTTTACGCTACGTCAACCCCCTTTGAGGGTACAGCCACTAACAATCTCAGTTACTAA